TTAAAACTTTTATAAAAATTAAAATATGTTTAAGATACATTTAATGCCTTAGAATATTCTATTTGATACAAACCATAATAGAATTCTGTAGCCCAATTTACTTAATAAATATATCAAAATATTTTATCAAATATATCGAGGACTCTAACTGTTGACTGGAAAATAATCTATTTTGCCTCTCCTGTTTCTCTAAGAGTTCACTTACTTTTTTTTTTTATTATTTTTTTAAACAGTAGAAACAATTGGAAGGGACTTACAAGAAGGGAATATGGATTGCTTAGGTTCTGGAAATATTCTTTAAGATAAATATCTCAGAGAAAATCCTCCACTCAAGGGATAATCTGTGTTTACTAAATTGGTATTGGTTGATGAAAGCTTATTATTTCACTGTGGATTTTCCTTATATGTATATATTTTTAAATTTTTATTAGTGACTAAACAAGACATACAGTTGAAGACTTACAAATTTTTGTGCTTGGGTTTCAATTATACAATAGTTAAGTACCCATCCCTCTACCAGTGCCCATTTTTCACCACTACGGATCCCAGTATCCCTCCCACCCCCCTGCCCTCATCCCACCCTGCTTCTGTGGCAGGGCATTCCCCTCTGTTCTCTCTCTCCTTTTGGATACTGTGGTTTGCAAAAGAGGCATTGAGTGGCAATTATGTTCGGTCTACTTTCAGCATGCTTCTCCCACCCCCTTGGGAGGATGCTCACAACACCCTTTATTTGGTGCTCTTTTATCCATCTGAGCTTCCTTTTCCCCTAGCATGTGTGAATGGCCTCCAAGCCATGGAGCAAAATTCCTAATAGTAATCTCAGTCATTCTTGAGTGTTAGTCTCCTATTTTGTTACTTTATGTTCCCCAGATGAATGCAATCTTTCTATGTCTATCCCTCTCTTTCTGACTCATTTCGCTTAGCATGATACTTTCCATGTAGTACCAATTGTATGTAAATTTCATGACTTCATCTTTTTTCAGCTACATAATACTCCATTGTGTAGATACATCAAAGTTTCTTTAACCACTCGTCTGTTCCTGGGCACTCAGGTTTTATCCAGATTCTGGCTATTGTAAAGAGGGCTGCAATGATCAGACAAGTGCAGATGTCACTTCAACTATACTTTTTTGCTTCTCTGGGATATATTCCCAGGAGTGGTATTGCTGGGTCAATTGGGAGCTCAATCTCTAATTTTTTGAGAATCGTCCATACTGTTTTCCAAAAGGGCTGAACAAGTCGGCACTCCCACCAGTAGTGAAGGAGGGTCCCTTTCTCACTTCATCCACACCAGCACCAGTTGCTTTTGTTCTTTTGGATGTGGGCCAATCTCTGTGATGTGAGAGAATATCTCATTGTGGTTTTAATCTACATCTCCCTGATGAGTAATGATGTAGAGCATTTTCTCATGTGCCTATTAGCCATTCGTATTTCTTCTTTATGAAAGTTTCTGTTCATTTCATCACCCCATTTTTTATGGTGTTGGATGTTTTCTTCTTGTGGAATTCAACCAGTACTTTGTATATCTTTGATATCAACCCCTTGTCAGATGTGTATTCGGCAAATATCCTTTCCCATTCTGTAGACTGTCTTTGTATTTTGGTCATTGTTTCTCTTGAGGTGCAGAAGCTTCTTAGTTTAAGATAGTCCCATTTGCCTATCTCTGTTTTCACTTGCTTGGCCAGTGGCATGACATCTTTGAAGATACCATTGTCCTCAATGTACCTTATGGATTCTGGTCTGATGTTGAGTTCTTTAATCCATTTTGATCTTACTTTTTTACATGGTGTTAGGCAGAGATCTGAGCCCATTTTTTTGCACATTGCTGTTTAGTTTTGCCAGCACAATTTGTTAAAGAAGCTTTACTTACTCCACTTCACATTTCTTGCTCCTTTATCAAAGATTAGATGATCATATGTTCGAGGGGAGATGTCAGTATATTCAACCCTGTTCCATTGGTCTGCAGCTCTGCCTTTGTTCCAGTACCATGCTGTTTTAATTATTACTGCTTTGTAGTAGAGTTTGAAGTTAGGGAGGTTGATTCTTCCCATTTTCTGTTTCCCAAGAATTGCTTTAGCTATTCGTGGGGGCTTATTGTTCCATATGAATTTCAGGAGTGTTTGCTCCATTTCTTTGAAGAATGTCATGGGTATCATTATAGGGATCACATTGAATTTGTATGGATTTCCCTTGTATTTTGTTTTAAGACAATTTTTAAAAAATATATCTGATCATTTATGGTAATTTAAAGCTATATGAATGTCAAAAAACTAACATATTTAATAATAGTTGTTTTTATTGTCTATATATCTAAAATCATGCATTCTGATTGGCATGTATCACAGTATATTGATATAATATATGCTCAGTTTTGTTACTTAATAATTACAGCCTAAATTTTATACTTAGAGAGACCTGATCTGAATTAGGTTTTCTGTACTTTGTCTAACTAATTGACTTTATTCACTCCAATTTTCTGACCAAATAAATGGTGATAATATTACATGTCATAGTAGCCATTGAAGATTAAATTATTGAATACTTAGAAAAAGTATATGAACTTTCAGTAATAATTCACCTGAGCTGTGATAGCATTATTATTTCTCTATTTATTGCTTTCCTTGTGATATTATTACCAGAAGAAAATTTTATATAATAGTGACAGCAAATTAATCAGCCCAATCTTTGGTATATAAAAAACTGTGTGTGCATGTGTGCATATGTGTGTGTGTTTGTTGTTGTTTTGAAGTATAAGATTACAGTAATAAATTTAGATATTAAATAAATTTCAGTTTATTTATATTTAATGATATGTTTGAATCTCTGTTGTGGCTATGCTACTTAGTGTACAATGCTATTATATTTTATATTAAAGAATTTTTATTGGAATAAATACTCTCTAGAGTTATTTGTAAAGTTTATTTTATTATCATTGAATGTTTGTGCAGGTTGTTGTGAATTCTCCTTATAATCAGTTCTAGTACCTTATAAGGTACTCTCACTAAGTATTGAAAAAAAAAAAGAGGACTCATCTTGGATTACCCATTATTCTGGATTACAGAAATGGAAAGGAAAGGGAAAGAAATAAATCAGTGAGAATAAAAGAGATAAAAAGAGATACCCACATCCACAAGAAGAAAAGCAACTAGTGCTGGCATGGATGTGGCAAGAAAGGGATCCTCCTTTACTGTTGGTGGGAATGCCGACTGGTTCAGCCCTTTTGGAAAACAGTATGGACGATTCTCCAAATATTAGAAATTGAACTCCCATTTGACCCAGCAATACCACTCCTGGGAATATATCCCAGAGAAGCAAAAAAGTATAGTCGAAGTGACATCTGCACTTGTTTGTTCATTGCAGCACTCTTTACAATGGCCAGAATCTGGAAAAAACCTGAGTGCCAGAGAACAGATAACTGGTTAAAGAAACTTTGGTACATCTACACAATGGAGTACTATGTAGCGGTTAGAAAAGATGAAGTTATGTATTTTACATACAAGTGGTACTACATGGAAAGTATCATGTTAAGTGAAATGAGTCAGAAAGAGAGGGATAGACATAGAAAGATTGCATTCATCTGGGGAACATAAAGTAACAAAATAGGAGACTAACACCCAAGAATGACTGAGATTAGTATCAGGAATTTTGCTCCATGGCTTGCAGGCCAGTCACACATGCTAGGGGAAAAGGAAGCTCAGATGGAGAAAAGAGCACCAAATAAACTGTGTTGGGAGGATCCTCCCAGGATGGGAGAAGCATGCTGAAAGTAGACTATAGACCAAACATGATTGCCACTCATTGCCTCTTTTGCAAACCACAACACCCAAAAGGAGAGAGAGAACAGAGGGGAATGCCCTGCCACAGAGTCAGGGTGGGATGGGGGCATGGGGGGTGGGAGGGATACTGGGATCTGTGTTGGTGCGAAATGGGTACTGGTGGAGGGATGGGTACTTAATCATTGTATAATGAAACCCAAGCACAAAATTTGTAAGTCTACAACTGTACCGTATGGTGTCTCACTAATAAAAATTAAAAATTAAAAATAAATAAATAAATAAATAAAATACATATCTCTATCCAAAAAAAAATAGAGATGGGCTGGTGATACCAGGGTCAAGGGCAGGGGCCTTTGGCACATCAGTGATATAGAGGTGTGCTATGTGTGTATATCTAAACCACAGAGCCAAAGACACTTTAATCAGGGGAGCTTAAATAACCCATTTTAATTATGTCAGTCAAGAAGATTGGCTGGGGGGATGGAATGGAGTCAAGGAACCTGGTACAGCATGTTGACACTGATGGTGGGATAGGAGTTGGAATACTGGAAGCCCGAAAATGAGAATAACTTTGTAAATTACAGCACTTAAAAAATAAAAATAAAATAGCATTGAAATGGACATTTTAAAAACATTTGGCATGTATGTTTATATCTCACTGAAATTGCTAGTATACTACTTATTCTTCTAATAAGTATCCTTTAACTGGTAAATAAGTACATTTAACTGCTCTCCTATCAGACTATCCTAAAAAGTTTTAATAAATTCACTTGTAACACTTGTCGTCCCATTGTTCATCAATTTGCTCAAGCGAGCGCCAGTAACATCTCCATTCATCCCTGTTGCATGATAGTGTAGCCCAGTGGCATACTGGGGGATCTTTCAGGATCAGGGGAATGGGACCCATTATTGTTATTGTTTTTGGCATATTGAATACGCCAGGGGTGGCTTGTCAGGCTCTGCCATGCAGGCCTGATACTCTCATTAACTCACTGGGCTCTCTGAGAGGGACAAATGCTTTTGTTGTTTGATAGTCTCTGGATCTTGCCCCTTGATGAGATTTCATGGTGCCAGGGGCAGTTTGTGGGTATGGCTGCCAAGCTACTGGAAAACTGGGGGTCTAGATAGAGGAGACCCAGCCCTGATCTTTTTAACCTTAAAGATTAAACGTACAACTCTTTGGATATTACTATCATTTTAAAACGTTTATAACAGAAGAATCCAGTGCTTGCTTCAGTAGCACATATACTAAGATATAACTGATACAGTGAAGTTTAGCAAGGCCCCACGCAGAAAGATGGCATACAAATTCATTAAGTCTTCCATATTTTTGCTGAAAATAGGTAAAAGAACAAACATGGTAATCTCTAGTATCAGTAGTTCAGTAGTGCAAACCATAATGCATAATGACCCAAAGGGGGGGGGGGGAGAGAGAGAGAGAGAGAGAGAGAGAGAGAGAGAGAGAGAAGTGCTTGCCACAACGACAGACTGGGGGTTTTGGGGTGGTGGAAGGGAAACTGGAGACATTGGTGGTGGAAAACATAGACTGGTGGAGAGATGGTTGTTGGAACATTGTATGAATGTAAACATGAACAGCTTTGTACTAGTGTATCTCATGGTGATTAAATATAAGTAAATAAATATATTTTTAAAAGCATAAAAAACAAACTAAAGAATTCATATCAGTGTACCATGGAAGGCAGAGTCAATAAATTGTAGTTAAAATAATAAATTTAGAATATCTCACTGTTTTGCCATAAACAATTCATGTATATATCCCTTTCCAAGATTTTAGAGATAATAATTTCTATATTTGTGGATTGTTATTGAGATTGATTTTAGTTGTGGCAGACGTCATTATCTCTATACCAATGAATAGTAGTTTTTACTATTATGGAATTTTAGTATGACCAGATAGGTTTTACTGCTCAACATTTGTAAAACTTAGCAAATATTTCTTATGTGGACCTTAATCTTGCCTCGTTCAATTTATCTTTATTTATTTTACTCTTTGCTATGTAATAGTTTGGATATTCTTAATATGAATGCTATCTGTATTCTATTTTCTTCAATTTTAATAGTACCTCTATTTTCTTCTATTCTAATAAGACATATTCCCCATAGTTTTAAGCTAAAAATGAAAATAAATGTCTTCTTCCGCAGGCAAGAAAAATAGCAAAATTTAGTTCCATAGGCAAAAATTTCAGATATTTTCTTATCTTTCGTGGTGAGTTGTTTCTTCCAAATAAATTTATCCAGTTCCAAAACTTTGATATCTATAAAGTTGACATCACTGTCACTATCACTGTCCATTATTTGGAAATAATTAAAGAACCTCAAAATAAAATCATCCTAGTCCTAAATTCTGTGGAAGATATCCTTATAAGATAAAGTTAATAAGATATAATTACATTCTAATGAGCTTTGTTAAGATGACAGCAGATTAGAGTTATGTTACTTTAAACCAAGAGCAGTCGGGAACAATCTGATGTTTTAAGAGGCAAGTATCACTCCTAGATCTTTTGAAGAGATCATGCCAGTAACTGCACTTGGAACTTTTTATCTCCAGGAAAATGGTATAGGGTCACAAAGACAGTAAAATATTTAGGGCTCTTTATTTAACCTCCAAACCAAACCAACCAAACAAAACCCAATTAAACAAACAAAAAGTCCAAAACTGTGGAAGTGTGGTAAAGCACCTTTTTCTGAAGCACAAATTGGTGGTAATGTGTTGCAGTTCTAAGATGCAGGTTTCATAGACTCTCTCTGTTTAACAGATAACAAAGAAATAGCATTAACCTTCAAACTCTTTGGTTCTATAGATGTGCATAAGTATGTGTAAAATGCTTATCTCCTAGGGCCTGTGGGATAGCTCACATTTTCCTTGCACTTATCAGATAAATGAGTTGTTTTTGTTTTGTTTGTGATCACACCTGGTGTTTCTGAAGGCTTACCTCTGGTTCTACAGTCAGAGATCACTGCTGGAGGGTTTTGGGGAATCAGATGAGGTTCTGAGCATCAACCCCAGGTCTACAGAGTGCAAGACAATCACCATGGTCTTTATCTCTCAAACCCTAAACTGTGGGTTTAAGCCTGGGTGTTATGCATTAAGTGTGGTTTCCTAAACTCACTGTAATCCCTGGCCCCACAGTTAACTGTGGTCCCTGCTGCATAGTTCTGAATTAGCACCTCGGCTGAAGCGTCCAACTCCCAGTAAACCCCCACGAAGATGCCTGAGTGCTGCAACTAGGAAAACTCCAGCCCCAAAAGCACTGTGTGAGCAACACAGTGACCCCAGGTAAACACTGCAACACAGAATACCTGTGGTCAGTCTAACTGAGTGTGACCATTTATGTGAATGCAACACAGACCCGCAGAGCAGAGCCTGGCAAGCTCCTTGTGGCGTATTCGAAATGCCAAACACAGTAAAAATCTCCAAAAACTCTCACAATGGAGACGTTACTGGTGCTCACTCGAGCAAATCGATGAACAATGGGAGGACAGTGCTACAGTGGCTACATATATATATACATACACACACACACACACACACACACACACACACACATATATATATATATATGTAACAATGAAGGGTCTCATTCTCCTAACTCTGAAAGAGCCTTTAATATGGCACTTTTTAAAAAAAATCTCAGGGCTAGGACGAAGGAGATGTTACTGTGGCCTGCTCGAGGCAATCGATGAATAGATATATATATAATATGAATATACATATATATAATATATGTGTATATATAAAATAAGTTAGAGTTTATTGTACAGTTTAAATAGATAGGTCTGCATTTCTTGTCAGTATGCAGGATTCTCCTTTAATCCATGTACAGTATCATTTGTCCTATTTTACGATGCCTGACCCAGTGTATGACTTCCTAAGTCCTACCCCTCCCGATCTGCTCACCTTCAATACATGAGGGCCTGCTCTTGTTCCTGTCCCATTCTCTATGCTCATCATGCTTTCCTGGTCTATAATTTTGTTGGTCATCTTTTCTCACTGTTCCCCAGTGCTTCCCTGGTGTCTCATCTTTCCTTAATCTCTGGTCACAGTCATGTGCACAGGGCCAAAATCCCTGTGCTCTGTACCTGTATCTGGTTCTCTCTCAGACTGTACCCCATATTTCTGTCCCTGCTTTCCTAGTCTGCATTCACTGCTACATACGTGTGGGTGAGGAGCCAGTACCCAATTCCTTGTCACTGTCCCAGTGTCTGAGCCCTGTCTAATCCTGCAGCCTACCAAGAAAAAGGACCCCTGTCTGTGTTCTGCCCTCTTCCTGGGGGTTCAAACCCTGCCTGATCCTGCAGTTCATCTGGAAGTAAATAATTGTGCAAAGCTTCAGGCTTCCTTTCACCTGCTGTTATTTTTTACCTCCAGCCTTCCCATTATCTATTCTGATTAGATGAATACCTTTCAAGAACTGAGATTTACTGACTCACTAAACTCACTGCACCCTTCTACTCCCACTGTACCACAGTGACTTCTACAAACAAACATGTGCAATGCCCATCATCCCAACAATATCAACAGAAGGAAGGAAAGTGGGTGGGAGATGGTTCTACACAGTTGAAGAGGCAACTGATTCTGCTTCACAGCTTTGCTAAGTGTGCCGCTTCAAGAATTAATTGAGTACAACTCAACTTCCTTTTTTATAAAATTGTGAACAAAACAGGAAATATACAGTTAAATATACAATGCAACCACACACAGCCACGCTCTCAGTTCCAACGGAGTTCATATTCTAAGCATGGGTAGACAGAAAGTAAATTAAAAAATATTTAGTATACTAAAGTAAGGAAGCATGATTCTATGGAAGAATGTGATTAAAAATAAACCAGAATAGATTTAAATGAGATGAATTTTTTAAAAAATAAGTCCAGAGAAAGGCGAGTACATGATGATTATTTCTAAGAGAAAATATTTTTAGGCATATAGGATATCCAGTATAAAAGGATACATGTAACCTATCTCAGAGGCAGAACGATAAAAGCTGAGCTATTGGTAATAGAACCAAAGGAACACAAGGAATCCACTATGTGAAATGCAGAATATCGGTGTGTTGTTTAAAAATATTAGCACTAACCCCTTTTATGTGTCAGGAATTTCTTTGGTCAAGCATTTGAAGTTGTGGAGTTCATGCCCAATTCAATCACCTTAATCAATGGCTGAATAAATAGCAGTACTCCTACATTTAAAAAAAAAATTCCAGGAAAAAAATTTTGTTTTTTGGCTTTTTTTTGGGGTGGTGGTGGTTGTGGTTCACACCCTGAGATGCTCAGGAGTTACGCCTGACTGCACTCAAAAATTACTCCTGGTAATGCATGCAGAACCATATGTAGAGTGCCAGGGATCAAATCTGGTCAGTCATATTCAAGGTAAAAGCCCTACTCGCTGTATCACTCCAGCCCCAGAATGTTTATATCATAAAATATATTGACAGTGTAATCTCTAAAACAAATTTGTATTAGAACAGAATGCTATTCACCAAAACTCTAACAGTATGTTTTAAATAAATGCAATTTTGAAAGAGATAGATGCAAATCATAGTTCAAGAGTTGTATGATAACTTATAGAAATAACTTTGTCTTATTTTGATGGCCCAGACATAGTGTTCATACTAACATGATTATTGCCTGTGTTTATAATCAATGTGAATAGATAACCTTTAGATTCTAAATAAATTTTAAAAAAGCATTAGTGTATACACATATTATAGTTAATGTATAGTGAATATAGCGAACCAAGAGCAGAATATCTCTCTGAATATCAATTTGAGTCTTGAGTTACCTCAGATTGGCATTTTGCCACTTAAAAAGTAAATTAGGGTGATGTGGTTATTTCAATATGTAACTGCAAACCTTGTTTAAATGTCGAAAAAAGAAAAATCAGCATCAGTTATTCTAGTTTACAGTGAACTTTGGTCTATTGTATGAAATCTCCTAAAATTAAGAATATGAATATGTAGATTTTGTTGCTTACTTAGTCAAAATATGAGTTTGTTCTTAAAGTTGTATATTGCTGACTAGTTGTATTTCTATGCGAGGTTTTGTCTGCACATAAAGTTTCATAAAGATAAATGTTTCATAAAGAACCAGGTTTTCAAATTTAGGTGGTTTGTACTAATTATGGCTAGATGTTTACCAAAAAAAAAAAATGAGTTAGGGTGGTACGCGTATTTTATTTCTCTATTGGTTCTATGCATTTGTTCTCTTCAATGTAAAAAGAATCTGGATAGAAAACAAAAATGCATTTAAAATATTCTTAGTAATCCTACTTGTGCTATGACATTCTGGTTATAATCCAAACCTAAAACAATTTA